TGGTTATCATGGTGATAAATCCAGGACAGCCTTGGTTCTCCCTGGGCACCTCTTGGCTGTCCTGGTGTTTGGCACTTAGAGGCCAGATGCAGTCTGTGGGTGTTCCTTGGTTTTACACGTTGCTACTGGGAGGTATCAACCCTCCATCTGCCTAGAGTTAACCAAGGCACAGAGCTGCGTAGCCAAGACTGAGCTGAGGTGACTTTGGCTGTGTCCCCACATGGTGCTGGGCAGAGGCAGGGCTGCATCCCAGAGTGCCTGCTCCCAGCTGCTGACCCAACCTGCTGATGGCTGGTTTTGGAGCTGAGATAGAGGGTCCCCATTCCCTAGGTATCACAAGAAGATATTTGCAAAGCGCACTTTGCCATTGCGTAATTTGAGGTTTGCAGCTATAATTAATATAACAGCATGCAGATACCAAAGGAAGTTACCGAGAATGCTTGTTCGCAGCTATGATTCCTCGTGCCTGTCAAGTGTCATTGCTAGTGATCAGGGCCAGCTTGGTGATCTGAGAGCAGCCATCATTTGAAGTGAGACCACCCTGGAGTGCTGACATAAGGAAGCAGTCAAGCAGGCTGCAGCCCATTGTGAATCTGTAGCCTCCGGCTGCACCGGAGCAGCTTCGTGCGGTGAGGCAGGACTACTTCATCTTCCTTTGGAGCAGTCGTACTGCTATTTCTCGTCTCCTAAGAACTAACAAGCTCAGGGCTTCGCAACACTTTGCAACTGTGTGTACAGCCTCTGCTGCTGGGAGCTGAAACTGCCAGACTTGTGTCTGCTCTCCTGCAGATGCTTGGGCTGTTTCTTCTTTCACTTGCACACTGGGGACTTGTATTTGGATCAGGAAAATCTGCATTGAGTTCTCATTAATATTATGAAATTCCAAGTGATCATTAGACCTAGCAGTCAGACAACTCTGAAGTCCTGAGGGCTATGGCTTTCTTAAGAGTTACTGTTTTGAGCCCTGGTGAGAAGTCAAGTGCCTGCAGTTTTGACACTTCCACCACCATGAAGATGCTCTAATAGGCAGAGTGTATTCTAGGACACGTCTTCCCCTTCAGTGCATCTGCCCACCCGGCTGTGTGCCTGAGAGACTGTGAGAAGCATCTGCTTTGCCCGATTGACACATAGGTTGCAACAAGCCTGATAATTCTGTGGTGAACTTCAGAAAGGAGAAATTTTCATATTTGTTTAGCAGCACCCCTTCCTTACAGATGAATGGGATTTAAGGGCAGATGGTTGAGTGCTCTGAAAAGCTGAGACTTGCAAAACACATAGCTTTGGCTTTTCTACCCTATAGCCTCTTGTCTGTCTTTAGGGATATGACAAAAGGCTGCTTACTCTCTGCTGGGCAGAGATAT